GTATTTCTTTTCGTATATATGTACTTAGAAAATTAATTCATCCTTCTAATTCTATTAGATAAAGCAATAATAGACATTCATCTATATCAAATAGGAATAGTTAAAAAATAGAAACACAAAAAATAGTTGATTAATGTTTGTCTTTTAGATGACAGCAACAGAAATAGATATTGATCGTGCTTACTCACCATCTTGTTGGTCTCATCGATTTAGTGATAGTGAAAAAGTCATTGAATCTCATGTGCAGACATTAACAAAAGCTACACAATGTGCACAAACTACAATACCTTGCTTGTTAAATTGGACAGTAAATTCAACAAGTGCATTTCCTGATCATGCGATTGATATTTATTTTCCATCAAATGTTACAGAATTATTACCTGACATTGATTCAATAAAACCAAAAGCAATTTTTGTTTATATTCATGGAGGATATTGGCAATTCTTCTCACGAAATGAAAGCGCATTTATGGCTCAAACAATGAGTGATGCACAAATTCATACAGCTGTTATTGGTTATCCAATAGCTCCACATGCAACAATCGATCAAATTGTTACATGTGTTGAACAAGCTTTAGTTAAAATTCTCAAATGGGCAATGAAATCATCTAGTAAAGTATTTATTTGTGGTCATTCAGCTGGTGGTCATCTTGCTGCAACACTTTTACTTATTGATTGGAAAACTAAATATAATATTGATCATCAAATTTTTGGTGGTTTTTTTCTTATTTCAGGTGTTTTCGATCTTATTCCAATTGTTTCTACATATGTTAACAAACCTCTTGATATGAACATATCAACAGCTAAAAATTCAAGTCCTTTGCATCGTGATAGTAATGATTACTGGTCAGAATTGAAGCATGTACCTATTCTATGTATTCATGCTCAATATGATCCTCCAAGTTTTCATGATCAAAATCGACAATATGGTTCTTATTTAGAAAAAATTGGTTTTGATAATGTTAAAACTATACAGCTAGATAATTATGATCATTTTGATCTTATAGAACAACTTGAAAAAAAGGATCAACCGTTAACAACTATGATTTTAACGTTAATAAAAGATTCCATTTGATTTAGACTCATTTGATTTAATTTGTTTTTGGAAAAAATATAATAAAGCTTCATATAATTCAATCGAAAGACTATCGAGATGCTTAATACTGCCATCTACTGTTCGTGCAATTATAAAATTCACTGTAGAAAGAAAAAAAAGTTCTCGTTTGTTCTCTTTTCTTTAATATTGCTTTATGGTTGCCAGGCGACATTTTTACATCACATTTCATTCGTAACATGGCACCACCATCGTTTCATATAGCTGTATATGGTCTTTTAAATTCTGATGAATATCAATTAGCTAAACATTGCTTGGAAGATTTACAGCGAACACATTCAAATCAAATATCTAATTCAGAAATTCATCCATTACTTGAATATGAATGGAAATCATTTATGCAAAATAAACGTGCTGAATTACGTGGTGAAACATGGTCATTCAATGATAAATGTATGGTATTTATTGATAAACAATTACTTGGAAATGCTGAACAATTTTTACATTGGGCGAAAAATACATTTGATCATAGTGATTTTCGTTCGAATGAACTTTTGGGTGTATTTTCACATGAAGAATACAAGTATGTGTATTTTTAAAACAATATAAGTTATAAGTATTTCTTTTTGTTTAAGACGTCAATTTGAATCAATTAATGGTCAACATACTTATTGTTTTATGGATTTTCAAATTGAAGATCGTGAAAATTCTCAAACAACTGATATTGGTCGTTTAGTATTTGAATTATTTAATGATCAAGCACCAGAAACATGTGAAAATTTTCGAGCATTATGTACAGGTGAAAAAGGTCAAAGTGGAAAAACTGGTACAATTCTTCATTATAAAGATTCAATTATTCATCGTATCGTATCAAATGGATGGATTCAAGGTTAATTAAATATTTCTTTTTGAAAAAGAAAAAAAACTATATATATAATTTTTTTTTCAGGTGGAGATATTCGGGGTGGCAGAGGTAACGGTGGAGAATCGATCTTTGGTGAAACATTTCCTGATGAAACATTTGTTGTTAAACATAATCAACGAGGCATTCTTGGTCAATATTCATATTTTTCATATGTTCTTAATTACTAAATTAAATTTTATTTTTTTAAGGCATGGCAAATAAAGGCTATCGACACTCAAATGGAAGTCAATTTTATATAACTCTATCAGATGCTTGTGAATGGATGTCAAATCGTTTCGTTGCATTTGGTCGTGTTGTTGAAGGTTTTGATACATTATATAAACTTGAACATATCGATACAATTAATCAACGACCAATAAAAGCTGTTAAAATTGTCGATTGTGGAACAGTTCAATTAGATGAGGATTAAGGTTTTTTTTTTTTAAACTTATTTTTATATACAACAAATAACAACTTATATTCAATTATATCGAGAAATAATCACAGAAATTTTCCATTCTTCATTTAATAAGCATAATCTTTGACACGTATACATTGCTGTAATTAGATGATAAAATATCTTGCTCATATTCACTCGAATCCTGATTCAATTCCATTGAAAAATTTTAAAAAAATTTAACCATCACCCAATCATCATATGTGTAGATATAATAGAAAGAATAATAAAAATCAACAAACAAAGCGATCCACCAAAAATACGAAAAAAAAAAGAAACGAAAGTTTTAACCAATCAACATGACCTAAATTTGCGTGGATTTCACAAGTTTAGAAAAAGACTATATATGTTCTTGTTTTTACTTTTGTTTTTGAGCTAAAAAAAAACACAACTCTACGTTCGTGCGAAAAGAGAAAATAAAAAGGGGAGAGAAAAAAAAAAGGGATTTTCATAAAATGAGGATATTAATAGTTTAACTTCGTTTTCTTTTTCTTCTATTATGAGTAACAATAATATAAGAAGTTAGTTTCTCATAGAAGATATGATTGTTGAAATTCTTAATGATATAGTAACAAAAGAAAAGAAAAAAAGCAGATGATTCGAATAGAAGTTTATTTTTTTGAATCTTGTTCAATTTTGTATGACATAATGGCTTCTTCGCCAAGAGCTTGAAGTACAGTGACTTTAAGAGCTTCTCCACTTTCAAATTTAGCTTTAATCTCTTGACCTAAATCACCTTCCGGAAGTTTGATATCACTACGTGTGTCCGAACTATCATCCATCAATGATACATAACCATCGTTATCAACATCAATCAACTAACAAAAAAATGAAAAAAATAACATAATTTTCTTTTAAACAATAGATTTGTCTTCTTTACTGAATATTCAACACGTTTAACATTTGGAACACTCATATTATGTGTTGATGGACAAATATCTTCGTATTTTTTTCCTGTAAAAATATCAATACCAACCATATGAACCTAAATGAAAATATTTTTATTGAATTCATTTTTTTTAGAAAATTTTAAAAGACAAAACAAAAAGATCTATACCTTAGCATGTCCATGTTTGCCAGTTTTTGATGTTGACATTTCCATAATTTTACATGGACGATTTTTTAACATAACAAAGCCGTTTTTACGTAAAGCTGAACATTGTTGAGGATATCTATTAATATCAATTTTCACTATTAAGAAAAAAATTCTTTTGAATGAATACATACGTTGTTGATGCTCCAGCATCACCTGTTTGAAAATCTTCATCATGGTCATGTGCAGCAGCATTACTTTCGGCCATGTTAATGCTTAAAAATCAAAACTGATTGAAAACTTCTACAATATAAATAAAATCACAATTATAATGAATCATTTCAATTCGCTAAGATTTTTTTTTCTCTTAATATTATCATTCAGGAAAAAAAAACAGTAAAAATAATGAATAAATGAATCGATCGTATGAATAACATCAACCACATATGGTCTTTGGAATAAAACACAACATATCACCATTTGAATGGTAACACCTCTACTAAGAAGACGACAATCTTGCCTTCGTTTTTCTACCATTGTATATAAATATTTTATTTGATACCTTTGTTTTTTTTATTAGTTATAGTAATTTATGCTAAAAATATCATTAATTGAAAAATATACTTTATTTATGTCGTAAGGATTTGCATAAAACAAACTATAAAGATTATATGATCTTATGCCATCTATCGTAAAGCCTTGATTTTATTTCAAGTAAATATCTAGGTCAATAATCCTCGTAAAATAATTCATTTGATTATCATTATTTAGAAGGCAAAAAATTTAAACTGTATAATATTGAAGGGATTTTTTTTACATAGATGGAACACCTTTTTTTCTATTAGTATAAGAAATAATTTTATTTAAAAATTTTAATGAAGACAAACCATAATTAATTATCAATCGTAATTGAAAAAAAGATTTATTCTTTCTAATACAATCGAGTACTTGATTTTTTTTTCTTTGTCTTTAAATAAGGGTAACATCCTTTTCCTATGATCTTATTTTTTACATTGCTCTTCAAAATACATATTCTTAGATTAGCTTGGAAAGTGTCGGAATAAATATCTTGAGATTGAAGAAGGTAAACAATTATTTCTGTCTCATTGAACTTTGATCAATATGCAAAAAGGACATTAAAACTTGAAAGAAAATTGATTACATCTATTCAAAGGAAAATAACCATGTAGAATTTCTTGTTTTTGACTTTATCATTGAGCCACTAATTAATTGTTGCTATGCATTTAACACATAAATACGAAAAAAATTTCTTATATAAAAGATAACATATAGTTCTTATATTTTCTTAAATAAATATAACACTTTCATTGTTTTTTTTTCTTCTATGTAGAAAAAAGGATAGAGACGACATCAGGAGTAATAATGCACATTCAATGAAAAAAAAAACATAATATCACCGTATATTCACATATCAATGTATGTGCTAACAACAAAAAGAAAGAAGAGAGAAAGACATCTTTAACCAATACTATCCGACCAAGAAAAAAGCAAGAATTACATAAAAAAGAAGTAAAAGTTAATATGTTTTAGCCTATGTATCAGCGGATATATTTGGACAAGATGCTAACGATCGACACTAAAATAATAACATAGAATTTTTTAAATTTATATATGAAAAGAAACAACATACTAGTGTATGCATAAAATCATCACTATCATCTATAGGTCTATGACAAAGTAAACATAACTAAGATTTCAAAAAGAAGAACATAGTTATAGTATATTATCATAAAAGAAAATATCATACTTTTGATTGAGCTATTGTTGTTTGATCAATTTGACGACAAGAAAATGATGGTATTGGTGAGTTACTAGATGATGTCATTAGACGACGTGTACCTCGTCCGGTACTATGTGCAAGTTGTGATAATGTTTGATATCTATTACTATTTTTCATATCGTGTGCTAGATCTTGTATCATACTACTAAATGGATTATCTAAATCCATTGATGAGGTTTTTTGTTGATCATTATGTGATGTTGATATTGTATGATGAATAAATAAAATTAAATGACGTAATTCATCACATGTATGAGCCATTATTTTGCATTCATCATGAACTTCATTTTGATATACATTTCGAAAATTTGCAAGTAATCTATCCATTAATTTAATCTAAAAAATAATTATTTAAATAAGACGATAAGATGTTGTTGTTGCTGGTTTTTTTTTAAATATAATAACATACTGTACGAAAACTATATTCTTCAATAATATCAAAATTATTGGTATGATCCATAGTTTGTGTTGAACGATTAATAGAATCATTTATTGAACTACATTGAATAGATATATCATTAACAGAAGTTTTTCTATCGATAGAAAAGAAAAAGAAGAAAGAATATTTAGAAGACTAAAAAAAAAAAAACAAGAAGAGAATTTTTACTTTCTTGATTTTTTAATAGCTTCAATAGATTCAAGACTTTTTTCAATTAAATTATCAAATAATAATCTATACGATGATTGATTTTCATTATTTGTATTATGATCAATACCATTTGTTATTATTAATGAATCTGTAGTAAGATTTTTATTATTACCGAAACAAAATTCATTAGCAAATGGATTTAATTCTGGCATTTTTGTCTTCGTTTTAGTTTTCTGTTCGATAAATGTTAAAAAATCGTCTTGTGAATTATCATAGTCAATGTCTTGAACAGAAGATGAAGATGGAAAAGGAATTTGATCCGATTCTAAAACAAGAATTAAGATAACAATATTTAATATTTTTTGAAAACTTTTTATTTTGTTTTTCTTTTTCACCTGAACGAGATATAAATGATGATGCTGATGATGAATTTTTACGTGTTCTTGGTTCTGTATTATTAGAATTTGCATCAACAATCACTATTGGATTTTTTGCTTGTTTTGTTTGATCTATAATTGGTGATTGACATTCACGAATATTCAAGTTTTTATTACGTTCAACATCATTTCCAATAGTTGGAGAGCCTATTGATGAATGCTGTAGTTGTTGTGACGATAATAGTGGTGTCGGCATTAATGGACGTGGTGGAATTAATGCTGCTGAATTAGTGATATGTGTTGCTGGAGATAAAATATTATTTGAAGTAGGATAAAATGGATTGTAAAATGCATTATAACCAAGTCCAACATTTCCATGACGATGATTACCAGTTGATGGATATGGTGAAACGTTAGGATAAACAGCTGGAGCAAAAAAATGTTGTCCAGTTGCATTAGTATTACCATAAGGAAAAAACATAGGCATCATCGGGACAAATAAAGGAGTAGGTATAGTGATCGATGTACGCTTCTAAATTGAATAGACAAATGAAAGATTGATTCAGCATTAAACAAAGCCATACTTCATCTGTAGTAGGTGTCGTACCATTCTGACTCATCGCTATGATAATCTTGGTCTAAAGCGAAAAATAGAAAGACAGAGATAAAGAAAAAGAAAAGAATGCTCCATTACATATTCATTACATATAGACGAAAACAAATGGCGCATTTAGTCTTTGTGCTCTTATTATGATTTTTCGAAAAAATAAAAACAGAATTTCTTTTCTTTCTTAATCAATTTTTATTCATGTTTGAATTCAAAAACTAGTCTTAATTTCATTTCAATCTTTTCTGATTGTTTTTGTCATCATGCAAAACTGTTTCATGTCAAATCAATAAAAAAAAAAAAAGACCCAAAAAATAAATAAAATCTTGGTCAAACAACAAGTTTTCTTTTTTTTTTTCGACTAAGAAAACGCAAGAAAACAGAACAAAAACATTACGACTAAAATAACTATTTTTGCTATTTGTTTTTTGTTTGTATAGACTGTTGAGTGTGTATTTTAAATAAGTAAGTATATAATGAGAAAAAAAAGTAAGAGCGAAACAGACGAGAAAAAAGAGATAAACACCACGTACATTGTGTTGGTTTTCATTCTGCGAAACGCACACACACAAACAGATCAAGCAGTAAGAAAAAAAAAGACAAAAAAAAGACAAAAAACATTTAGCAGCAGAGCATAGAGCAGTAAGACAAGAAGAAAAAAAAAGAGAAAAACACAATAATACACGCGCTGAATAAAACGACTAGAACAACTGCGTTCGCTCTGAAACGACACACATACAACAGCAGAAGTAGTAGAAGTAGGACGAGAAGACTGGTGTGAGAACTATGTTCACACGATACCGATCCATAACGATACGACAATTAAAAATAACATACACACACACACATACATACATACATTCATACATACATAAACTACTGACAATTATGAAAAAGAGATGAGAAGCAAAAAAGCAGCTTACAAAAAGAAGAGAGAGAATGCAGGCAAAAACAGACCCGTATCGAATTTAAAAGAGAGAGAGAGAGAAATAGATAGAAAGTCTCTGTAAATATGTATGCATGTGTGTGTTTGACAAACGTGTTTCACCACTGTTAAGAAAAGAACAACAAGAGCACAACAGAGACAAGAAAGAAAAAACAGATAGGACGACAAGCAAAATTGGCAATACCAAACGTACAAAAAAATATGTCCACCAGCCTAGAGATACAGATAGAGAAGAAAGAAAAAAAAAACATAGAGTTATTGTATTGCTTGAGGGAGAATAGGTAAGAAAGCTGGCTCTTATTGTTGTCGTCGATGTGACAAAGCAGATCTTTTGCAAGAAAGATAGATAGTAATTGAGGCTAATTCCAAATCCTCAAAAAGCTATCCCACGAGCCAGTCGCTACGGCCATTCCATCTTCAGTTACACCAAGACAACTGACACGATTATCGTGACCAGCCAAAACGCCTATTACAAAAAAAAAGAAGAACACTAGTTTAAAAAAAAAACTAAAGAAAAAAAAACTTACCAGCACGTTCTAGACGAAGTGTGTCCCAAACATTGCAATTAAAATCATCATAACCGGCCAACAGAAGACGACCCGATTTGGAGAAGGCAACCGATGTTATACCACATATAATATTGTCATGGGAATACATTCCTACTTCTTGATCAGCACGAATATCGAATAGACGACAAGTTGCATCATCAGATCCTGTAGCAAATGCCGATCCATTTGGAAAGAACTATTATTATTAAAAAAAAACAAAGTCATATTTTGTATAAGTAACACATAAAAAAATCTATATATATATAGATATATAGATATCAAAAGATCGATTAACATACGGTAACAGCATTGATATCCGACTCATGGCCGGGAAATGTTTGTTTACACATGCCTTCTCGTATATCCCAAAGCTAATCAGAAAATGAAACAATAAAAATGATAATCAGATTAATTGATCATTTCAATTACTTTGGCAGAGGCATCGCATGCACCCGAAACAAATGTTTTCATATCGGGTGATAATGAAAGTGACATAACATCACCTGTGTGTCCTTGAAAACTAGTTGTTTGTTGTCCAGTTTCAATATCCCACAGGGCACTTGAAACGAAAATCAGAGAAAATAATTTTACAATAATTGAAAGAAGAAATAAAAACTTAATACTAACCATGTCATATCGCCTGAACTTGTCACAATTTGAGAATCATCAAGAAAACGACAGCACGATAAATATCCCGTATGACCGGGTAATTCTCGACTAACACGTACATTGCCTTCACGTGTTTTTAATGAATAAATTGAACAAATATTATCAAGACCACCACAAGCTACAAAATTTCCAGATGGTGCATAGGCACATGTCATCACCCATGATGAACGTAGTGGGATAGCGTGAACCTAATATGCAATAGAAAAATAGTAAAATTTTTATTTGTACAATCTTGGTTAGTTTTTTTTTCATACCTTGTTCGTAGTGTATGAATCCCATACAATGAGTTTTCCATCTTGAGAAGCTGATACTAAGTTTCTAGAGGAGGAGCTAAAACAACAAAACATTAAATATACATGTTGAATAAAAATTTTGACTAGAGAAAAGAATTCTAACCTTGAATCCGAACCCCAATGCATGGCATAAATTTTGGCAAGATGACCACGAAGAGTTCGTCTTGTACGCATTTGAATACGACCAATCTGATCCACATTTTGTGCTACTTGTAATAGAGTAGCATCACAAGCTGCCTTTCTGGCATCCTTTACAAAAAAAAGAAAAAGAAAAAATTAGCATTATTAAAATAGAATGAACTAAATAAATATTTATTGATACATACACGAATTTGATTTTTGAGCGACTCGGCTTCTTGACGTAAACTTTCAATGTCACTCATTCTGATTTAATATTAATTATTAATAAAAAGATAAAGGATAAGACAATGGGAAATAAGGAGAAAAATTAATTTAATTGCGAATTGTGACTATTGAATAAACCTATAATAAAATAAATATTAAATATTTATTTAAAATCTATTATTAAAATGAAAAAATATCTTAACTATTTCTTTCATTTTTTTTCTACAAGATTTAAATTCCAATAAATAATACCATTGATTATTACTTGAAAACTTGTACTATATGCACACCTCTAACTTATAATAGAAAAATTTTCCTTATCAATATTTGTTTCTAATCTGAAAAATAATAATTTTTTAGTCAAAATGTAAAATAATTTAAGTATGTTTTGGTACAAATAACAAACGGTTGATGAATGCCAATAATACTGATCAGATCTTACGTTATCACTAGTTTCTTTTAATATACATCTAATTGAATGATATGAAACAAGGCTCGTTACGAATTTTGTCCGTATCTCTCAGATTTATCGGGTGTTATCGTTAATATTTGAAAATGTAATCTTACTCTTATTATCATTGAAAAAAACATCTTTATATAAATGGAATTTTATCAAAGAGAAAAAGCTGTTTTTCTTCAATAATCTAACCGTGTGATGTGCGTGAGAAATAAGTATTATTTCAAGGAAGGAAAGCAACATGTTTCTGTAGTATTTAATGGAATCAAACAAAACCTTCAACGGTGAAAATCGCTAAAAAAAATGCAACGAACTGAGAAAGCCTCTTGTTATTTTCTCACTGACGATAATGTTAGTCGTGCGTGTGTCACGATAGTTCTTGCTCTCTCTCTCTCTCTCTCTCTCTCGCTTTTTTATATCTCGTCTTGCGCGACGACATTGATGATGCTGACTGTGTGACAGTCAATGTGTGTGTACTATCTACTACTGGTTGCTGCTACTGCCATTGCCATCATCATCATCAATGATGGCGATAGCAGTGTAGGATGATGGTATACATGCGCGTGTGTATTATTCTCTACTCAAAATTGGTGACGCACTCGCGCAATTTCTTCTTTTCTTCAACATGTTATTCTTACACGACAATGATGGCATCCATACAAACACACACATATACAATAAAGAAGGCTTGAGAATCTCTATTGTATAGACAATAAAAACATACAGGAATACATAAAAAAACATTAAAAATTAAAATTAAACTATAAAAAAGTTTTTTTATTTTTTGTTCTGTATTATTTTCATTTGTTTGTATATGTATATATATATATATATCTTACTTGATTTGTTTTATTGTATGATAGAAAATAGAAGGATGAAGAATGACCATCAAGATAATAATAATGAACAACAGACGTGATCATTGATGTAGTAATTTAAGTAATGATAATAATGATGATTGTCGTATTGTTTCTGATATATTATTTTCCGTTTAATACGTGCGTACATTGTAGAGAAAATATGATTTTGTCTGAAATTCTATCATTTATGCATACACTTCCACGATGTGGCAAAATAACAAACACACACACATACACGCACGACTACTGGTTTGTTTCAGTTTTTCAACAAAAAAAAACCGAGAAGCAAAAAAAAAGAAAAACGACGATCTATCGACGACGTTACTGCTTGCTGTTGCCACTCGGGCGAGCGAACGAGCGGACGGGGTGGATGAAACAACAAAGAGAAAAGTTTGGCCGACTAGCAGCGGCAACTGAGAGGAAAAAGTCTGCGTGTATATGGCAGCAATAGGGTGAGGAAAAAACGAAGAATAAAAAGAGATGGTAGTACGTAGAATATAGATGGAAGATCTTCCTTCTTTTCCGAGCGACAAGTAATAGGAGAAAAGAAAAAGAAAAAAAAGAAAGAACGCGAGTGCACGTCGAAGTCGGGTCCAGACCAGTCAGCCAGCAATGATGATACGATGCTGATGAACAGCTCTATTGTTGATGATAATTTTCTTTGCGTTCCTCTCTCGCTCCCACACTATCGACAACGACCGGCTTCGCCGTCGTTACTGCCACTGTTCGCTTTTCTATAATCATAATTCTAGTAATGCGAACTAGTCGGTTTTATTTGAAAAAAAAACGAAGAAAGAAGGAAAGAAAAAGGAAACGAAGAGAAAAAGAAGGAGGAAAAAACAAGAGCAATGCTAAGAACTACTGTTGTATACCATTGAGAGCTCAACTCGACGTT